ATCCGAAAACACGGCTGCTCCGGAACATTCATTCTAATGTCCCTACTACTTCAAAATAATGAGAGTGACGTATGAGAAGCCAGACAACAACTGAATCTCGAGATCCACCCATAAGATGTGAACTGCAGGAGTACATTCTGCTGCAGGGGTGCATTTGGGAGCTTGTGTGTGTTCTTACTTTCGACTACAAGCTATAAACCCTAATATGAATTTAGAGGGACCCCTGCAAAACAGCTGGGTTTTGGCGGTAAGAAACGGAGTGGTTTGGGGTTTGGCGACGCGACATACGAATCTCATTACCCTAAACCCTAAACCCTAAACCCTAAACCGTAGAGCCCTCGTCCATGAACAAAGGACTTCGAGGCTCGTGAGTTTGTCTTAACCCTCTACAACCTAGCTTCTCAAGGAGCTATACAAGGAAACCATAGTCAGGAACGCTTTAAATATGTAGGTTTCTGAAGGTAAAGTTTCAGGGCTTAGTATGCTTGAACTTCTGGTCAAATCCATGTTTGGTGCAGCTCCGAGTGGCGGCAAGGGCGGCAGCAAGAGACACCTTGGCAAGGCGAGTGCTAAATGGGTAGTTCTCTAAATCAGGGTCCCTTTTAGGGTCCTTTTTGTAAGATTGCCGTACTAGTTTGGGGACCGAAAAGGGACCCGATTTCAGAGATCTATCCAAATCCCAACCCTAAACTCTAACTTGCGGGTGCTACTGTGAATGTTACAGCTCATGTAATGCAGGGGCGGTGTTGACCACATCGAATTATCAGAGAACGCTCAGGTATGGTATTGGCCAGCATTCTGGTCAAGCCCCTATATTCAGCAATTATATAAGCATAACTCCGGCACACGGCATCATGCGGAAACTCCAACGAACCACTGGCTGATACCAAGAACCGTTTTGAGTTCACTTGGAAGTACCGTTGAAGGACCCTTGCTAAATTAACTAGGGGCCTTAGACCCTTACTCTAGATACATATATATATATATATGTATGTATAGGTGCTGCTACCTGAAGCCTATTGAGGATTAATCTTGTCTGTAGCTTGTCATTAGCAGTCTGTCTGGCTGAGATGCCTTGCAAGTTCCTTGCAGGGTGGCTGTCAAAATTAGGGCCCCTTTTTGGGTCCTCATTATAATACGGCACCGAATATTCAGGGTACGGAAAAAGGCGCCATAATTTTGACAACTACCCTGCAAGTAGCCTGCCTGGTTGACTGGTCAAGGACAACTGCCAAAGCGATATCAGGTCTTGGTTCATTCGCAGTGATATCTTCTTGCAGGTCTGCATAAATACACTATGCGTTCCAATGCATATTGCTCGAACGCTTGAAGTGTAAGCCCGTTTGCAAAGTACCTATAAGCCGACAGAACACACTCCAAGCCCTCAGCCACATGCTTAAGTAATGGACCCGAGAAGCCCTCGTCGTACCGGGAGACATGGCCAAGGTTTATAGGGAACTCCAGAAAGTTGGAATATGGATTAATGGTAGGGTCCCCTATAATTTACCTTAAAGGGGTTACGATAATGATATTCCAACTTTCTGGCTTCTACTGTAGGAGTTTAGGGCATTGGACGATTACCAAGTTTTGGACATGGGCCATGGATGTTGCAGTGTTTTTCTTGGTCCCTTGGGCATTGATGTCCTAGGACATGACGTTACTAGGGTTTTCGCATGCATGCTCTGGCCTGTTACCAGGTTTTCCGAATCAGACCATGGGAGTGCCACGCATCAGGCATGCATGCTCCACCGTTTGGGGAGTAGGTACTGACGGCTGGCCGCAGCACAGAGGTTGCGACTGTCGAGCGCTTGCCGTCTTTGGTTTGGCACTGTGGGGCTGCATCTGCAGAACGGCACTTCACCTCCGCCAGGAAAGAATTGTAAGAGAAGGACGGTCGGCACAAGCCTGTTGCAGCGTTTGCCACAGTTCCAAGATTGGGAGTCGAATTAGACCACTAGCCACTCAAAGTGGTGATCTTGCCGAGGACGGCTGGGGAGCGCGTCGAAATTCGTGGCTCCGCACTGACCGCGGCGTCAAAATGACAAGGCAACCTGCAGCAAGTAAGTCTCTGCTTGCAGGAAAATGCCGAAAGAAAATCATGTCAAGACCTTGCGTGCACGAAACCACTTACCGGGAAGGCATCCGCTCATTCATAGAAATGACACACAGAGTGCGGGGTAGAGCCCTAGCCTGAAACAAGACGGTTGCTACAGAAATCATTTTGGCAGAGCGCTGTCCGTGAGGTCACGGTCTGACATTGAAAAGATATGTACTGCAGCATTCGATGATATGAGGTCTGACGAGTTTGCAGATGCATCAACTCAACATGCAGCTAACACTATACACAAAGATCCTGGTCATCAACACGAGATCATCATTTCCATCGCCATCATCACGAGCACGGTCATAAACACCTCGAGTGCTTCACAATGTCATCGTTATCCACCAGACAAGTAGCATCACCAACAGCTCCATACCACCATGGGTAACTTTATAAGGAACCTAATACTGCAAAAAGGGAAGAATACAATAAGGGTACTACTGGGCATCCTAGTCATGCAACAACAGAAGCAGGTGTAACAACATCAGCCGCAAGAGTAGCTACGAGTAGTCAGATCAAACATATTGGAAACTGCTGAGACGTGCGAATCGGCGGACATCATCACGGAAGGTGGAACCTCATTTGCCCGCTGAGCCCGCAGAACCCAGAGACCCCAATATCCCTTAATTACAGAATTTACCTTAAAATAAAACAGGATCCCTAACAGGATTTAAGCAATATTCCATAATTCAGGGAGGTTGGAGCGTCTGGGAAGCGGGAACAAAAAACGCTGGTCCATTCGCAGGCTCGACCTAGCGCAGCTTTGACACGCCAACAGTCTCGATTCTCGTTCAACGCAGTCCCAGACACTATCTTATGCTATTTTACAACTCCTTACTTTAGAATAGTGCTAATCAGTGGGCTTTCGCTTTACCACCTGCCTACTCCCACTCCCAGCCTCCTCCTTCTCCTCCTCCTCCTGCTGCTGCTACTGCATGCTGCTGCTACTAGTGGTGCGACTGCGACTGCGACTGCGACTGCGACTGCTACTGCTACTGCTGCTTCTACTACTACTACTACTACTACTACTACTACTACTACTACTACTACTACTCCTACTCCTACTCCTACTCCTACTCCTACTCCTACTACTATACTACTACTACTACGACTACTATTACTACTACTACTACTACTACTACTACTACTGCTACTACTACTACTACTACTACTACTACTACTACTACTACTACTACTACTACTACTACTACTTACTACTACTACTACTACTACCTCTGCTGCTACGCTACTACTACTACTACTACTACTACTACTACTGCTACTACTGCTACTGCTACTGCTACTGCTACTACTGCTACTGCTACTGCTACTGCTACTGCTACTGCTACTGCTACTGCTACTGCTACTCTACTACTACTACTACTACTACTACTACTACTACTACTACTACTACTACTACTACTACCACTACCGCTACGGCAACGGCAACAACATCAACAACGACCAACACTTCTGCGAGCACTATTGTTTCCAGTACCAGTACCAGTACCACTACGACGACTACAACGACAACGACCCCCACTACCACTACCAGTACCATTACCACGACAAGGCCTAGCGCAAGCACGAGCACTAGCCTAGCACTAGCACTAGCACTGGCAGTAGCCCCAGCCCCAGCCCTAGCGCTAGCGCCAGCACTAGCACTAGCACTAGCCCTAGCGCTAGGCTAGCGCCAGCCCTAGCACTAGCACAAGCACTAGCCCTAGTCCTAGCCCTAACCCTAGCGCTAGCCCTAGCGATGCAACTAGCACTAGCACTAGCACTACGACGACGACGACGACGACGACGACGACGACTACTACTACTACTACTACTACTACTGGTACTACTGCTACTACTACCACTGCTACAGTTCTCCTCGCTGCCAGACCGCTACTTCTACCACTGTGACGACGACTTGTGCTTCCACTGCTGTGCCGACGACTTTTTTGCTACAGCACTACAACTATCCCTACGCCAACGACAGGCACTTCTTGCTAGCGCCCTAAACCCTAAAGCCTTAACCCTAAACCAAAAACCCACCACCACCGGCAACCATTGCCTCAAACAAACAGTTCGGCTCTGCTTTACCGCAGTCAGTGCATGCGAGCTCCGAGGGCGGGCGTTCGAACACCCCAGGGGTGATGTGGAGGAAAACATAAAAATTCCAAATCTCGTTGCGCGACGGTGGATTCCGTCGTCCGGCAGAATATAGTGAAAGGAGGGAGGCATGGAGCTCCAGTTGCTGATCCCGCTTCTTGGCAGAGGCATGGCTGGACCTTCTTCCCCTCACGCTGCCAAACTTCCAGCTGACCGAAATCGGGTTCACCGTCAGCCCATCGATACTAATACAAAACTTGCTTGACCCGCCCGCCACATTGGAGCGACGCGGTCCGAGCTAAAATAGCGCACAGCAGCTGTCTGCTCGATAATTGCTACGAGTAACTCACTTCATCTCAACATCTTCTGACAGTGTCAACAGCGTGCGTGCGCTTAAGACAAGGTGGCAGGTGCTCTCACTCTGCGAAAAAAGTAGCAGACTAACATAGGGGCCTTAGTAATTACAATGGGTGTTGGGGCCGATTATACTATACTTATAATAAGGAACCCTCAAAATAGTATTGATAATCATTTAGGACCCTATGCTTTACAAGATGCCGGTGAACATATCCCAGGCTTGAGTCTCAGCAAGGAAACTCCCGGAAACGACATGACAAATGCATCTGCTCTGCATGGATGCAAAGAGGCCAGCATGGTTTCGGGCAGAGCAATAAACCCCAAAGATATCCCAACGCCAGTGCCTGCACCTCAACACGATTCCAGCATTCCAACCCGGATTATGATTTTCGCATTCCAAACAACAGTCGGCAAATCGGCGACAGGGAGGGAAAGCGGGGGTCTAATGAGCAATGCTGCCCGGGCTGGATATGTCTGTGCTGACCTCCGCCAAGCTCTTCTCAGAGGGTTCCTGGTCAAAGCAATCCCAAGCCCATTCAGGTGCATGAAAAACATGATTGCCGCGAGCAGCCCTGTGTCCTTCTCGACTTTCGGGAGCACCGCTTGGCCGCAGTTTTTGGGAAGTTGGCTGGGCAGCACCCTCTTCTCCAGCAACGTTGGGTTCAGCTCGATGGCTGCCAAGAACTTGTTGAGCCTCGGAGTGCCAGAACACTTGGTTTAGGGTTTTGGGTTTGGGGTTCAGGGTGTGCCAGGGGTTAAGGGTTTAGGCGCTTGCGCACCCTCACCCCTACATCCTAGATCCAATATGGCCCAATGGATGAGATCGGTCCACCGCGAGAAGCACCTCGCAGCATAGATACCTAGATAGCATAAATATAGATAGATAGATAGATAGATAGAAAGGTAGAATCAAGATAGATAAATGGACAACTAGATAGACAGACAGACACAGACAGACGGACAGACTGACAGACAGATAGGCAGACAGGTAGGCAGACATGTGGAACGACAGACGGATCGATCGATAGTCGTATACATGTGAATGTATGTATACATATACATATACTTCTACAAATACAAACAGAGAGAGAGAGAGAGAGAGAGAGAGAGAGAGACAGACACAGATAGATAGAAACATAAGCGGCACCATGGGCAAGACCTTGACAAGGACATAAATACAAACAATGACAGGTGCAGGTACTGAGACATATACGGATGTGTATCGGTGTTAATAACACACACATGTATGTAGACGTTGAGGCAGATATAGCTATAGCCATATCTGTATAAACATATGTATAGACAAATATACAGATATACAGGTACAGATAGGTCTAGACTTAGAGATGGGTGAGCATAGGATACGGATATAGGTACAACCATAGAAAGAGAGGTAGGTATACATACAGATGTAGAGTCAGGTAGAGATAAAGACAGTCCATAGATATGTGTCGATATGAACCTATATGTCGGCATTGTCACTGATACGGGAAGATATCTATAGGTATAGGTCGAGAAATGGAAAACAGATACAGAGATGAAGAGAGAGGAAGAGGTTGCAGACAGAAGCTAGCAGCTGGCAGCCAGCAGCAAGCAAATAGATAGAGATGTAGATGGAGACACAGAAACAGGGAGATGTAGATGCTTATACAGGTAAAGGCATAGATATGGATTTCTATATGTACATCTTAATTTGCTTAAAAAAGCATCGCTGTGGATAGATACAGATATACCGGTATGATAAACACATGATAGAGATGTAAGAGACAGAGATGTAGACGTAGATAACATACATTCATGTACGTGTATATATATATATATGTACATATACATTTGCATATAGAAACATAGAAGTGTTACTATCTGTGTGTCGATCAAGTATATGAAACATACAGACACGATACAGACATAAGTATGCACATGGGGAAAAGGAGAGGGAGATGTAGAGAAGGGGGAGAGAGAGAGAGAGAGAGAGAGAGAGAGAGAGAGAGAGAGAGAGAGAGAGAGAGAGAGAGAGAGAGAGAGAGAGAGAGAGAGAGAGAGAGAGAGAGAGAGAGAGAGAGAGAGAGAGAGAGAGAAGAGAGAGAGAGAGAGAGAGAGAGAGAGAGAGAGAGAGAGAGAGAGAGAGAGAGAGAGAGAGAGAGAGAGAGAGAGAGAGAGAGAGAGAGAGAGAGAGAGAGAGAGAGGAGAGAGAGAGACGCGATCCGGCACAACACTCGCCGCCACACGGACGCTGGACTGACCAGCATGACTCCAGTCCGCACGAGATTGGGAGCACATGCTTCCGGACTCACACCATGTCCCTCCAACTCGAAAGTTCCATCCGAGCTGCTGCCTCACATGGTGGTTGTGAGTGCTTGCAAGCGGGACGATTATTCCAGAAGCATCTCTGTCGCTGATGCGCATGGAATTGAAGCGTCGAATGCCCTCCTGGGCGTCTCAGATACGTGACAAACCCGCTTGCCTTGCAAAGTCAAACCTCACTATCCGCATCCCCAGATCTCAGTCCTTGAACGGAGTGGACCGCTGTGCGAACTCTTGTCCAGTGGCGTCCTGCAGATGATTCTGTGCCTATCGGGGCAGCCTTGTTACTCAGGTCAGCCTTTGCAAATGCTGCGCCAATCGGTAAACGGACTTGCCAGCAGTCCGTGAAGATGACACGGGTGCTGCCAATGTCTTCCACGTCTTCGTGCATTACGCTCACGCTGGAAGAGCAGCCCATGATGCCTCGCTACACAGTCTTTGCCCCTTCGGCCTGAATCTACTACAGGGGCCTTAAGAATTAGAATAGGGTTTTGGGGCCCATTGTGCTGTAATTGTAAGAGGAGCCCCCAGAATAGTATAGGTCATTATGAAGGCCCCTGTACAACAAGCAGACAGTGGCGATGTCCAGCCCGCCTGTACCACGGCGAGCAAGAAGGAGCAGGAAGAGCGGGACCGAATGTTAACAAATTTGGGCCACAAAGGCTCTACACAGACTGTTGATGATAAACATCCTGCATTGTATACCTCAAGGACTCTAAACTATGGGTATTGTTGTACATTGCGTATTATGGGTAATGCAGGATGTATGTCATCAACGATAAGCTCGTGTGACAGTCACATGTACTCTGTATCAAGAATCACAAGCTGTTGCATCGGCTCGCTGCCAACTCGCTGTCACGATGGACGGCTTGCACTAGAAGTAGTAGTCGTAGCAGCATCAGCAGCAGGAGTAGCTGTAGTCGTCGTCGTCGTCGTCATACTAACCAACCCCAACCCCACCAACTAAGCTTGCTTAATGCAGGCCTCGCGATGTGCGCTCAGCAACCGTTCCTTCGCCCTGGCCCTGGCCCCCACGCCCCCGCTCCCGCCCACCCACCCAACACCCTCAGCTTCTGCTTGCCTTTGTTGGTTCATGTACTGGTGCAAGAGTTTGGTGATATCGAGGGGCCAAATACCCCCCGGACGTCATACGTCTGCGAGTGCTGCTCCTCCTGCCACTACCACGATGGCGACGACGACTACTGCTACTACTACTACTACTGCTACTACTGCTGGCTGTACTTCTTCGACGACCAAAACTAGTGCAAGACCTTCCGCGGCGACAACAAGCAGCGCTGCCTAAAACTACCATTACCGCGACCACTATTTCTGTTTCTATTCTACTGCTAATTACTGCTACTTCCACCTCCACTTCTGCTTCTAGTTCTACTTCTACTACAACAACGATGCAAAGAGAAGTCGCCCGATTCAAAATTGCTGGCAATGAATCAGAATGGTCGGGGAGACATGCTCGTGAGCCCGCAAGATCTGAGTCGCACACGAGGAAGTACGTGCTGCCTGGAAATGCACACAGAACCGAGCACTTGTTTAGGGGAGGGCTTGGGCTTTGGGAGCCGCGCGAGTCAGCTAGTCATTAGTCGTAAGGCAGGCGGCAGTTTCTGTGCTTGTACTAGTGCTTTCTTGACCTTATCTCGAAAAGAAGCTGGACCCCAAAAGCTCGAGAGTATTGATTCAAGTCTTCAGCCGAGGTGTTTGTAATTCCCGTTCGTACAGAAGCTCCAGTTGGACAGCCTCATCACTCACGCCTCACATTCTGAGCCCACACCCCAAAACCCGAGTTCGAAGTCCTGAAGCCTATAACTCGAGATCCTCAATCCTTCCAAGGGAGTTTCCGAAATAGGGGACCAGTACTCTAAATGATAGGATCCTTATTGTAAGGACTCCAAAATAAGGCACCCGTAACTTTCGGAAACTCCCACAAGCTAAAATCCGGAACTCTCGAACCGCTAGCCTTTCATGTAGGGGCCTTACTAATTAGAATAGGGTTTGGTGGTATATTATTCTATAATTATAATCATAAGGAGCCCCCCCAAACCCAGTTCTAATTATTAAGGCCTCTACACTATAGAACCCTACTATAGATCCCTTATAGAACCCTTTACAAGGATCCCTTTAAAGGAACCCTGTTCTTATTATGAAGGCCCCTACATTAACCTTCACGGACTGTCCGAGATGCGGAGGCGCAGTCCGCCGAGGGTGTCGCTGCGCAGCTCACTGATGAGAGTGGACACCTGCTTGACGTGAGTAGGGTGTCTTTAATCATAAACCCTACATAAACCCTAAACCGTGTCTTCCAGGTGCTTCATTAATTAGGGTTCAAGGTTTTTCCGGGGGCTTTACTCTATTCATTAGGGTTCAAGATTTTCAGATAAGGTTTGGACTTGAGATTGCCCACACACTTGGACGCCCCAGGCTCGGATATAGATCGAGACCCGATGCTTTTGGGGGGTCCTTGGTGCTAGGATGCCCAGTAACCTAGGAATAAAAAGGGCTCCCTTTTTGGTATTTGGGTAACTTTATAAGGAATCTAGGGCTACAAAAAGGCAATAAGGGTACTACTGGGCATCCTAGGTTGTGATTTCCTTCTCTACTCCCATAGAAGAGAAGGAGTTTTGGAGGTGCAAGTATAGGGAACCATTTGAAGCCGAGCTTGGGGCGGCACGGCGGGTTTCAAAGTCCCTTGACAGAGGTGCCTTTGAATATTATCCTGGTGCTTGGCACTCAGGAGGCTACAGGATGGGTCCGTCGCAAGAAGTCATGTTTTGATGCAAGTGCTAAAACCTATAAACTCTAAGGAAGTCGATTCTTCAGAAGGGATATTCGGCTCTCTATGATTCGCAGCGTCAGAGCTCATGCAGTGCTCCATTGGGGCTGACAACAAACAAAATAACAACGCACCAAAAGTAACTATCGAATATGAATCACAAGAAGTGTTGAACACAGAACACATGAGAAACACGCATAAACCCCACTGAAACTCGGGAACAAGGACCCTTATCGCGAAAACCCTTTACTATCGCAGGAAGACATCCCGAACACTCAAACCCGGCATGCCCTAACAGGCACAGGACAAAATGAACAACACCACACGCAGTGAACAAACACATTAAGCACCATAGTAAATTAAAACCCTAGAAACCCTAAACAAAGCAAGACAGCATAATCAACAAGCGTTTTACTGCTGATACCCGAAAGCTTTAAAAAAGCAAAAACAAACATGAGTTCCGTGGCCCCCTTGACACCCTAACGAAAACGGGCAGCTTGAACAAAGAGAAACGCCACACCAACCAGGCTTGCAACAATAGCGTATGTATGTATGTATGTATGTATGTATGTAAGCATGTATGTATATGTATATACATATATATATATACAGAGGGAGAGAGAGAGAGAGAGAGAGAGAGAGAGAGAGAGAGAGAGAGAGAGAGAGAGAGAGAGAGAGAGAGAGAGAGAGAGAGAGAGAGAGAGAGACAGAGAGAGAGAGATAGAGAGAGAGAGAGAGAGAGAACCCAGGCAGTGGTACACAAAACTCACACACTTCTCATCGTCACCATCATCATACATAACAGTACCTGATAAACCTAAACCCTAAACCCTGTGCCCCTTCGAGCGCCTGAGACCCTAAACCTTATCCCCCGAAACCCCTAAACCCTAAAACTTTGCCCTTTTGAGCCCCTACGACCCGAATCCCTGAACCCGTTGCCCTGTAAAAGGGTTTAGGGTTTAGGGTCTCAGGTTTAGGCCTGTAAAACCCCGACAAAACCTCGGAGCACGACTTCTCCGAGGCTCCGGCCGTGGAGAGGCTCCCGGCAAAGCCGGTGCTCAGGGCTGCCAGGGCTGCGCGCCCCAACTCCGAGGAAGCCCGAACCTGCAGGGTTTTTCGTGGGTTCCTTAAAGGGCTCTTTAAAGGGATCTATAGGGTTCCTTATAGGGAATCTTTGGGGTTTAGGGTTTAGGGTCTACTTGGAGGATCATGGGACTTAAGTAAGGTTATAAGTACCTTCATAGGGGTTATAAGTAGTTATAAGTAGAGTCACCCTAATTATAACCCCAGCTACTAAGTCCCATGAACCTTTAAGTCCAGGGATCTATCACTTATAAGGGTTTCTGTAATTTCTGTAGAGCTTTTTATAAGAGTACTCTAAGGGTAGTTCTCTATATTAGGGTTTAGGGTTTGGGGTTGATTATACGGCGGAAGGGTTCAGGGTTTGTCAACCCACTTGCGGATTTTGCCGCCAAACTCTTGACCCCAATCCCCGCGTTGCACTCCAAGCCTAATGTAGGGCGTTCAACTAGAGTTTTGGGGGTGTGTTATACACTAAAATCACATTCCGATGCCAGATGATGTTGAACTGTCCGGGGTCCTCGTAGACGCCGCCAAGGGCATTGCAGAGACAGCCAAGTGTGTTGGCGATCAGGGTGAAGAGAGGGAACCTGGGAGGTTTACTGCACGGGCCTTTATGGTTAGCATAGGATTTTGGTGTACGTTTGATATATACTTACATATGGACGCTGGTTGACTCTCAGGGAATACTCTTGATCAGGCCTCCATATTACAGGCTGCCCCAGAACATAAGCCGTTGTTCCATTCACTCCAACCCCAAACCCTACAGCCCACAGCCCAAAAGCCCAGAACGGCGTAGCACCCTAAACTCCAAAACCCTACACCCTCAGCCCGAAACGCCAACCCTAAACCCCCTAAAGCCCAACAATCTGAACCCCCCTAAGCCCTAAGAGTCCGAACTTCAATCCCTAAACCTTCAGAGTCTGAGCATTCACCTGAGATTTTCTGCTCCGTCCCTCTCGGCACCCCCACGGCGCTGTGTACTTGTTGAAGAGCGAAAGCCTCAGACGACGCACCAAGGTTTCGGATTTAGGGTTTCAGGGGGCTTACCGTTTCGGGGTATGGGGTTTCGGGTTGCTTCGGATTTGTTAGGCTTGATGAAACGGCAGGGTGTGTGTAGTAGAACTGCAGTGCCGGCAGGAGGTGCTTGGAGAATTGATGGACGGAGCGTGTCGGGTCCTTGTCTTCTTAGTTGCTGAGTTCATAAGCCCCCAAAAGCGTACACTTTCAGTTCTATAGTGGGTAATATTATCCCCAGAAGTGTAAAGTGTATATCCACTCAGCTACTAAGTCTTTGTATAATAGTGTACATGTGCGTACCTACCAGGTATGAGTCGAACTCCAACGATCGAGGGTTCAGTCGGGTGGTGCAGGGTTTGGGCAGTCCCAGCCTTTAGGGCGGAGGCTCGAAATGTCTGATTTTACAAGCTTAAGCACGAACTGTTTTTAACTAGCTGTTTGGGGTTTATGTCTTAGGTTCCCTAAATCCTGCATCACCCTACTTCTGTGATTCTGTACCCAGAGCCCGGAAGATCTTGCATCTACATCGTCGG